GAGCTATAGTTTTGGGAGTACAGACTCACAGAGTACCCTCAACCTGAGAAACCTATCCTGTGAATTGGAGGGAGGGGGTGCCCAAAAGGGTACTATACCTCTATCAAGTTTAAAATAGCTATAAATATACCTAAGATATATAAGGAATGAACACAAATACATAAGACCAAAATCAGTTCCACAATGGTTAAGTGGTCAAAGGATATGAACAAATAATTATCCAAAGAATTTCAAAACGTTAATGAAAATATGAAAGTCAGGGTAAAGCACTTCCCCATAGAAACAATGTGATACATAAGAGATTAGGTTTCTAAGACACTCCACAAAAGTCTTAACCCTAAGTGAACCTGAAGTATATTAAGGAATCATACTATGAAACCTAACATGTGAAATAACATCTGTATGGGAAATGCTTTCAGAGGTCCAACTTAGGACACCTGCAACTGACTTCTGAAAGAAATGGATGGATAACAAACTGGATACAGGTTCTATTATATAGGATAGAACAGGGTCATAAGGTTATGTCCTTTGGTCCTGTCCTGTTCAATATTTTTATCATACTTGAAGGCACTGAAGGCATGCTACTATATCCGTAGATGAGACAAAATCAAGATTCAAGTAGATCATAACAAGTGAGAACACTGACGAGTTGAAATGGAATATGGATAAATGTAAAACTGCAAATCTCTAGGTCAGAGCTAGAAAGAACTCAAGAGATAATAATTTCCAAATTTTGTGTGTCAAAAATAAACTGCATGAAAGCCAAAGCAAACTGGCCTGACTCAGGAAGACCTGAATTCAAGTTGTATCTCTGAGTCACATTGGCTGTGTGACCCTGGGAAAGTTGCTTAGCCTTTCTGTGTCCCCAAATAACTCTCAAATAACTAAGTTGCAGACAAGCCAATTACACACTGAGAGAAGTTTACTTACCACGAATTCTGTACACTAACTAAATTAACAGGTAGAGGACTCAATTTATTAGACTGTATGAACAAGGTGTGAGGTTTTAATTAAATGAAAAGTTAATGATATGATTGCCCCACTCCTGATTGTGGCTGTTCGAAACCTTCCCCTCTCTCCTACAAGCCTCAGAATCATCCCTTGTTCCATTTCTTACAGCAGCTATCACCTTACTTTACCAAGAAAACTGGGGTTAGCATGACTTTGCTCATGCCTCCTACTATACATCTCAAAACTCTTCTGCATCTTCGACCACACTCTCTTCCTTTGCTCTAGTTCCTGAGAAAGAAGCAGCCTTTTCTCTTCCAAACTCCCTATTTCACATTTCCTCTAGGGACTTGACCCAATAACCTTTTCTCTCCTCTCACCCTGAGATTTCTTTCTACTGGGTCTTTTGCCACTGTCTGCAAACAAACTCAGTTTTCTCCCATCCTTAATACAAACTTCACTAGATCTCACCATCATGCAAAGCTACTATCTTACATCTCTCTGTCCTTTCACTGCTAAACTCCTAAAAAGAGCTCTCTGTGCTCAGTCTCCATTTCTTCACCACCTGCTTCCTCATCTTCTGTCTAGTCCCCTTGCAAACTGGACTCCAAGTCAACCACTGACAAACTGTTCTCTCAAAGTCAACCAAGACCTCTTAAATGGACAGCTTCTGACAATGTCAACCAAACCCTCTTCCCATTATACTCTCCTCCTTTGGCTTTTCCTGACATTACTCTCTTCTTTCCTCCTACCTCTCTGACCCTCACCTCAGTTTTTTCAGAAGATTCATCATCAATCTCCTCCTTTATATGAAGCACAGATACTTACTAAGGATCTGTGCTGGGACTTTGCTATCTCTCCAGTTTTCTCTTGGTGAGTTTATCAGTTTCCATTGATTCAATTATCATCTCTATCCAGATGACTCCCCAGTTCTGTATTTATAGCTATAATCTCTCCTGAGCTAGAATCCTACCTCCCCAGTTGCCTGCTAAATTATCTCCAAGACAGTAAATGGCTCTCCCTGCCCCCCATCCCTCAAAAATGACACTTAAATTTAATCTGCATTAAGATTTTTCCCATCACTTTATCATTTAAACAATCAACAAAACAATAAATCAAGCCCTGATTTTTAGTATTTCTGAGGTATAAATGCTACACTGTAAATTTAAGTCAGCTTTCTAAGCCAGTACAAGCTGACTCTTGCACATTCCTGAATTTATCTCCACTTAGATGCCTATTGGCACCACAAATTCAACATGTCTACAAAATAATTCACTAAAACTTGCTACCCCTCCTCTAAATTTTCTTATTATATGTCTTAAAGGAACCACTATTCTTATACAGTCATCCCAACTTCAAAGTCAACCCTGAATCTTCCTTCTCTCTCCCATCTGATAGCCTGTCAGCTACCAAATCCTGCCAATTATACCTCATCTACATTTTTACAATCTATCTTCTTCTCTCCACTCAAACAACTCATGTTCATTAGCACTTACTTGAAATATCAAAATAGCCTCTAAATTGTCTTCCTTCATTCAATTCAATCTGACATGACTGCCACACATTTGACAGTAGCTGTTCCAAACCTTCCCCTATCCCCTGGAGACCTCAGAATCATCCCATGTCCCATTTCTTACAGCAGCTATCACCCTCTTGAAAAAATTGATTATTATCATGACTTTCCTCATACCTCCTACTACACACCTCAAAACCCTTCTACATCTTCTATCATGCTCTCTTCCTTTGCTCTAGTCTCCGAGAAAGAAGCAGTCTACTCTCTTCCAAACTCTCTATTTCCTTGCCGTCTTAATTTCTTTCACCTCTCAGATTCATTCACTACACATCTGCCACATTACTATCCCTAAAGCACAGTTCTGACTATGCCTCTCTCCTGCTCAAAAATCTTCAAACTAGCTTCCAACAGATTCTAACAGAAATATAAATTCCTCAGCCTGTCATTTTAAATCTCTCTGCAACCCTACTCCCACTTGCCTTTAAAGATATTTCAATCATTCCACTTCACTTACAATACATTCAGCCAAATGAAATTATTAGCTATCCCCAAATTCAACATTTCATGTATCCCCTCCTTTCCTTTGCACAGGCCATGTGCCCCCATATCTCAAATGCATTTTCACCTCCCCTAGCTTCAGGACAGGCTCAGCTCAGGTGCCACCATAGGAAAAGAAAGCCTTTCCTGAATCCTCTGGTTATTATTCTATTATCATACTGTCTTCTCCTTATCTGCACATACCTAACAGAATATAAGTTCTTAAGGATAAGAACCACTTCAATTTTTGCCTTTGTATTGTGCAGTAACTAGAACAATGCCTTGAACAAAGAAGCATTTAATGCATATTTGTTGAACTGCCCTACTGAAACCCTTAAAGGATCAGCTGTCCCCTGGAAGACAACCTGTGGCTAGTTCAGCTTTTCCTCAAATGAAGCGTTGGTTCTTCACCATATTTATGAGAATTAAAGATGAGGCATACATGTGGAATTCACTTCCCCATAGCCACAGTCTGGCCTAAAAACAGAAAGCATTCTTACAAAGGTGGGGGACACATCTTCTATTCCTAACTGTATTGCTGAACTTGTGAGACAGAGACACTTAATAGCTTTTGTCCTATGCTTCACTTTCTCAACGTGAAATAGAAACAACTCTACTAACCTTTCTTACAAAGGCGCCAGGAGAGATCATCAATCTGGAAAATGTTAGATGAATTCTTAATAAGGGAAGCTGTCTTAAATAATAATTTCATAAATTACAACTAAAACTCTAGGCTACTATTGCCATTACCAGTTAAGATAACTGCTCTCTAGTAAGTTTCTAGTAAAGCAGCTGCTCTAAATTAATGAGGTAACGAAGCCTCTTTACTTATAGAGACGTCTTACCTGTCCTGTGACATACAAATTTATATAGTTATCTTGCCCATAGTAGGTACCCAATGAAGTACAGTAACCTTACTCACAGTAGGTACCCAATGAATGAATAATTCATTCATTTTCCAATCAATGAAAAGCTCTTTAAGATACAACACAGTGATTTTAGCATTTTTCATTTTTATTCAGTCAACAGTTAAGCTGATATACCAAATAACCTGCATCTTATAAAAAAAAAAGGGGGGGTGAATAGTTCTTGGATGATTTTGATCTTGGTTCTTTATTTCTTCAAACAATAAGTAATATTCTTTCCTTCTATTATCTTTATAATACCAATGAACCTCCTGGAATAAATTATACTTCTACTCATAAGTTGTTGTTGTTGCTTGTCCTTCATTCTCGAAGAGGACAATGACATCAGGAAAGTGATGCCACAACTTGCAAATGAACTGTATTTAAGTGAGGCAGGGCTATGCAAAGTCACCAGCCTCACTTTCTCCCATGGAGCCATCGGGGTCCAGTGGACAGATATAGGTCAGGATGACTGAAGATGCCCCCCCCTACTCTAAATACAAATACAATCAACTGTCAAGAAATCTGATGCTTAGATGATTAGCTTCTATCCTTTTGACAGCTAAAGGACAGTTGTATTGTGCAAAAGCTCAAAGAAAAATAGTACAATAATCAACGAATGAGTTAATAAAGCATTTATCACTTACTATGAGTAAAACACTCTCTTAAGTGCTAGGAATAAAAAAATGAAAAGCAAGACAGTCCTTGCTCTCAAAATATGATGAAGAACTAGCAGAAAATAATATATTTTCCCTCAATGAAATACCCAAATCTGAAATATTCATACACTCATATCAATAACTCTCTAAGAACATCCTTAAAACAAAACCTGAACAATTAAAAGATAAGACAAATGACCAAAGGTCAAATTTTATTATTTTTAACACTAGAAGAAGGTATGTGTTGAATGATGCAAAAATTTTATTACAATTTACTTTGAAATAAAAAATTTTATCCTATTTTCTTTGCCTTATAGATAAAAACAAATCTTCTGTGTCAAATAACAGAGTATTCTTAAATTCTGGTCCTCCCAATGTTAAATCAAGCTATTAAAGCATTACAAATATATTTATAGAAAAAAAATACAAGATTCCTACCTATCTCAGTCCTGTTGAGTCCAATTCCGTTGTAAACTCTCAAATAATTAAAGTGACAAGAATCTGAATCTTCTATGTCAAAGTCACCAAATTTGATGTGCACTCTCTCCCCTGCCTTCACACGGATCTCCCACTCACAAACCGTGCTGTTAGGATAGGTATGTGGGTAGTTTATTGATGTAAGAGTTCCACTTTCAGGACCTAATACAGTGTGTCCACATCCATCACCTGAAAAGATAAAAAACAAAAATAAAAACAAAAAACTCTTTCAATAATACTTCCCTATTTTTTTGCTGAAAAATCTATTAAGTCATGAGGTATAAGGGTTTGTGAGTTTTCTTTTGTTGTTGTTTGCATGAAATGTTTTAAATACCTCTTTTAAAATCCTAAGAAACAGAGTGATAAGTAAGGCCTCTGGAGGATTTGTGTGCAAACATGGAAAATCACTGCTGAAGGTGAGGATACATGGATGGCTTGTGATTTGTACTACTAGAGAATAACACACAAATAAAATTAATGGGAACAGGCTTTAAATAAAACGCAAAATTTAGACTAAAATGTTAGTATAGTAAAATTTGCCTATACCAGAAAAATACAAGCAGGTAGTGTCAATGTTACTGTATTCACAGCACTGAACAGAAACCCTGACTTAAAATGGATCTATTTATTCAGAGCCTTTTAAGTTTTTTCAAATAACTTAAATAGTATTTTACAAGTGTTTACAAAAAGTTTTACATACATTAATAATAATATTTAGCATTTTCTTCCTAACAGCTCTGTGAGGGAGATAACTCAAGTATTATTCTCATTTTATAAAGATCCAAAGACAGAAAATTTGGCCTAGGTCCCAAGGCTATTATTAAGTGGTAAACCCAGGATGAACTCTGGTTTTCTGATTCAATGTCCAGTGCTGTTTCTACTCTACCATTTGGATCCAAAAATAACTTGACATAAATGTTTGAATATTATCATTACATATAATCATTTAAATGATTTAAAAAACAAAGCAAATCCAAGAGGGATTTCTCAAAATACCAGTAAAATACACATTCAAAAGGATACCATCAACAATAATTCATTCATATGTGAAATACCTTCTAAAATTTTCTCTAATTCTGGATATTTTCTGAAAAATATCCAAAAGATCTTTGTTCATATGTGTGTGTGAATACGTATGTGTGTAAATACATATACATGTTCATATATATGTAAATATATGTGTGTACATACAGATATAAGCATAGATATGTGTGTATATATACACACACGTAGATAGATAGTATTGTCATTAGTGATGGTATCACTTCTTAAAGGGCAGTTAAATAGTAGCTGATAAATAATTGCAAATTTTATATTCTCTAGGTGTTTGGTTTGGAAATGAAAAATATATAGTCACAACTAAAATGGATATGTACACAGAAGATGTAAGACACTGATATTTTAAAAAGTGACATTTCCTTCTATCAAAGCTGGACTTTGTCCCATCCACCTACAAAGCAAAAAATTTGGGTTAATCCAAAATTTCCAGCTGCTGATGCTGTAGAGGAACTGTTGTTTACATTCCATAATAAGGAGAGAAGCAGGTAAATACTTTTCCAACAGAACCCTGAAAACATTATTTTAAAATGATGGTTCCTAAAGTAAGAAATATTTAGAATGACTTTCCTATTTGCCCTTATTAATTATGCTGCATTTTTAACTCAATATACAGACATAGCTTCAGTAGCTTGTTTTTCTCTCACTTTAAAAAGCAGTGATTCTTTTTTTCTCCTTATTGTAAAAAAAAACAAGGGCAAATTTCTATGAATAAGTACTATAAAAATTTTAGACTTAGGCTAGTCTCTTAAAATAGTGACAAAAATGTTAACTTATACATTAAATTCAGTTGTTAAAAAACAATAAGTGTATACATATTTCCATAACTTTGACTGTTCAATATAGTCCGAAAAACAAAATTGTTATAAATGAGTCTTTGAACTTCCCCCCCAAAAAAAACCCAAAGACATTTCTCTTATCTAAAACTTGACCTTAATTGATATGAATGATTTGACACGCTCTCTTATTTTATGTGCTCCTAACACAGAGAAATTTGTGTTTTGATTTTTAAAATGGGTTTTGTAAAGATTAAAAGATTAAGATATTTTTAGACACAGAGAAGTAAAATATATAATCTCCCCCCCCCAAAATGCACTCAGCAAAATAACTCTTGAATACCACAATCACTCATTTCTGTTGTGTGGCTAGCCCATCTCCCTTTTGTGGCCATTTATGCTCTGCTAATATACTTTAAGCTGCTTCTGTAAGAGGCATGATGCAGCTTTCCCTTGCATTTGGGGTCACATACAATTTGGAATTTTTTAGGGGCATGGTTTTCAGTTGTCATTGAGGGGAGCAATTCCTGTAGGGAATGGGCCTACACCTTCCTCCCCATCACCAACAACAACTGCTGACCAACGGGAGTGCCAGCATCCTCCAGAGCTGAGGAGTAACACTGGAGGCCAAAGGCAGCCCAGAATAAAAAATAATTGAGAAACATTTAACAAGATAAATAAAAATACAATACAACATAATGTTAATTTGTGGTTTTCTAAGTCAATATGTGGCCTGAGGGATATCCATTTCTAATGATCAGTCTGACTAGCCCAGGTAGCCAACTACTCTGTTTAGAGAAACAATCCCTACAGAGGCTGTGGCCCAGTAACTGCTTCGTGCAGGTGTTCTAGACATAGCTACTGAAGACCCAGAAAAGAAAGCATTCACGACCAAAGTCCTTAATGCTGTCAAATGGTTCAGCATCAGAACCTGACATGATTTAACTAGAAGATTCATTATGATTTGATTTGCCACTAAAACTTAAGTAAATGGGACCTTTCCATCTATGTGCAACTAAAAATATCTGTACCCATTAGAATGCGAGCTCCTGAGAGCAGGGACTGTCTAGTTTTCCTATTTACATTCCCACTGCTTTACATGATGTTTTGCAAATGTTGTTTTTTAGTTGTTTTTAGTCCTGATTCTTTGTGACCCCTTTTGGGATTATCTTGGCAAAGATACTGAAGTGGTTTGCTACTTCCTTATCCAGCTCACTTTACAGATGAAGAAATTGAGGCAAACAGGGTTAAACGACTTGCCCAGGGTCATACAGCTAAGAAGTATCTAAGGACAGTTTAAAACTCAAATCTTCCTGAGGCCAAGCTAATACTCTATCCACTGCACCACCTAGTGGCGTGCTTTGCAAATAGTAAGCACTTAATAAACGCTTTTTTCATTCAGTCAGGCAAGTCATGCCCATATAGTAAATCAGGAGAATAATGTTTAAAAATAGACTTGGATAGATGCAAGAAGTTCAGGATACAAAAAGCATTATCAATTCCCCTAAATGATGGTGTGGTTCATACTTCATTTTCGAAGATCACCAATGACATCATGATGGGTTGATGTCTTAACTTGTGGGTGAATTGGATTTCAGCGAGGTAGTATTGTGCAATGTCGTCAGCCTCTCTCTCCTCCAGAGTCATCAAAGTCCAGTGGCAAGACCAAAAAGGTCAAGATGACTGGCGATGGCCTGGATATAGTAGATGACCTTGGGTATCTTCAATGTCTGACCAAGCTCTAAGCACTCCACAAAACCTGCTTTAGCTGCCTTCATGGCCACCAGAACAAACTGTTCTCATCCGCCCATTTCACCAGAGGAAGTCCACATGCTTGGGGTGGGCATCCCCCTAAGTCACCAACAGGTTTGAGGCCTGTCAGTTACTATCAACCTGGTTTAGCCCATCTGCCAAGATGGTTTACCAGCATGTGACCAATGCACATGTTAGAACCAAAGGTGAGAGTTGAGTGCCAGATGGACACTAAAAGTGGGTAAGCAGTCCTAAAAAGGCTTTGGCAAGCCCTCACACCAGACATCCCCCCCCGAACACTCCACAGTTCCCCATAGGTGACACATGTAGGGCAAAGATACATAAATCCTCCTGAGTACAATGTGAGTTTGCTGTCCTAAAGGAGCCATTCTTTAGGGCCATATGCGGACATTCCCTGTTCCCCATAAATCACTTGATTGGGGGGGGGGGCATGCTGCTTTCAGCTATTCATGACTGAGGGACATTTACTAAGTAATGACTAAAGTCTCCAAATTAGGTGCTGAGCCAAAAGAACTGATGGCTTAGTGTATGAATCTACAAAAGAAGAATTTTCTGAAGAGTCAAGTCAGGGAAAGGGGATTTGCTTCTTCAGAAGCTGGAAATTTAACAAGCAGATCGGAAGGATGCTCCTTTTGTAGCTAATCCAATAAGTCATCAGATTTCCTGGGTTCAACAGCCAATTATGAGACTCCACTATGATACAGTTTAAACTCCTCCAAATGTCTAGAAGCAGGCATTCCTCCATTCCCCCACACCCACCCTTCCTCAAAGGCTCCATGTAGTTGACTATATTCAAGTAGGCAAGGAAAATTGGCATGTGCTGCAAGGAACAGCTCCCATAAGCTAGTTGACACATATTACACATGTCATAATCAAGGCCACATGTTTTTCATCTATTTTATTCAGTGTAGATGTCTAAGTCAATCTCTTCCAAAGGACTACTGATTATAACCCAGGAGGCCCTCTAATGTTCCAGGGTACTATATAATCTTCACAACATCACTTGCAAATAAAGCATTTGGAAAGTCGCATGATCAACAGAAAACTATTCTTTTGGGTCATGTGCAGGACATCAATTATCTAATACATCTTTCAATTCCATGACTCACTTGATACCTAGAATACTATTTTAAAGAATTACCTCCACGACCATATTTATTAAAGAACAGTGTATAATTCTTTGTGCAACTTATAAAGATATAGTCTGGTATGAAAAGAAATCTTTTGTTTCTTGCTTGTGTTTTTCATCAAAACCATCTTCAATGTATGAACAGATTGTTTTCATAAAGATTTTAGATTTTAAAGAGGGAAAGTAAGCATATACATTGGTAGCTTCTAATGTTGTAAGCCATATTTTGAGGGATAAAAGTACCACATATGCATGATCTTTTGTACTCTTTTAGAAGCTTTGAGATGTACTGAAAATTCATCCTTTGGTGGCTTTGTAATTATGTTGTCTCCACCACAGTCCTTTGGTACATACTTGGCCAAGAGTAAGGAATTGTATAGTAAGCAGTGACAGGATTGGACTAGGAACACAGGTTCAAATTAATTTCTGACACTTCCTTGCTGACAAGTCATTTG